ACCCCTTTAACAAAATGAAATATGTAACAGGCAGATGTTTAAAAGAAAAAAAAAATTTTCTTCCCTTGAAAACAAATCACAAACCACAGTGGAGCTATATACAGGCTACAGACAATTTTTTTGCCAGCTGTTACAGAAACATTTTTACAGCAGGATTCTGATTAGAATCTTGAGCTTTGAAATATTAGATAGATTACATAGCTTCGATATTTGACCACTATTTATGATAATACTTGGTTACAATGACAGTAATAATTCTTAATTTCTGACAAGAATGCAAAATCCAGCAAAATCAATTTTAGTCAAAAAGTGCGCACATTTGGAGAAATATGTATTGACACAATTACCTCATATTACTTTAGACAAATGATAATTTCTAAATGACTCGCAGAAAGACGATTCTCTGGAGATCTATCTGTCAATATTGCGTGATCATAATTCCCACCTTCTGGTGACGGTAACTTCTGCTTTCTGTCTCGTAATATATTTATGTGTCGGTTTATTATATAGCTACAGTATCTGCAACAAGTCACAATAGAGTGAGTTTTGAGCAGAAACACTGTATTAATCTCATACTGTCACTCTGAAGTAGATCAATGGCGCGCACTGACTTTCTGAAAAGCCCAGCATGGATTGAGGCGCATGAGTCAACCAGGATCACAAAAATGGTCTCTGTTAAGCAGGAGCACTAGTCCATTTCTGATTTTATTGTTGTTTGTATTGTAATGTTGCAGTGTTTTACTTGGCGATGTTTATTTATTAATTTTTTTTGTATTTCATATGGTTTCATAAAAAAAAGTAACAGACAAGTGTGGACAAATGATGAATCACTCAGGCATGAGGTGTGATGAACACTAACAGACAGTGGCATCTGTGAGTTGCCATACTGAGTTAAATTCTAGCCGAGTCAGTCATGGCATCTAACATGTAGATCATTGCTTTTATCATTCATGGACGAGATTTCTTTTCTAGAGCCACAAAATGATGAAGCTACTTCATGAAATCTCTCATTCGTACTGCTGAGAGTGTGGAGAAACAGAATTGATTTGTGTCAAGTGGGAGGATGGAGGTGTTTTGGTTCAGACGAGCAGCACCTCTCTAGAGCTCAGCTGGCTGTTGTTGAACTTTGACCTCTGACCTCTGGGTCCTGCAGGTGATGAAAACCTACCATATGTATCACACGGAGAGCATCAGTGCCGAGAGCAAACTGAAAGAGGCTGAGAAGCAAGAGGAGAAGCAGATCGGACGTGTTGGAGATCCCGTCTTTCACATCCGACTAGAGGAAAGACACCAGAGACGGAGCTCTGTGAAGAAGATTGAGAAGATGAAGGAGAAGGTAAATAAGAAATAGTGTTTAGTAACACATAACAACCAGACTACGATCAACCATCCAAAGAAACTGTCAAAATCAATCTCAAGTTCTCAAGGCCTATTGGATCCATACCTCATATGATGGAATGTCTGAGTCATATTTTACTGAAAAAAGAAAATAAAAGAGTAAATAAAGAAAAATGAAATAATTCAAATGATTTTAAGAAATAATTCTTTAAAGAAAATGCCTATTTTATTATATTTTTAACATGACTGTATTTTTATGACAATTAAGCACATTTAAATTTATTTTTAATTATCATAAATAAGTTAACAGTATTTAAAATAAAATCCTAAAAATAGGCTTAAATTAATTTGTACAAAATGTAATATCTTATTTCTTTTGATTTTGTGGGAAATATGACCCATATTTCATTAATTATTTGTAATGTGCTTTCTCATACCGTACCCAAAACACGACAGAACATGTAATGAGAAGAATAAACAAAACTTAAATGCAATAAAATGGCAAGCAATAAAAAAGTTATTATTATTATAATTATTAATGAACTTCCTTCTGGACCTAAGTTTTATGCATCAGACATGTTTTTGATAGAAGACATGCCTGACCCTGCTTTCACAGGAATGGCAATGTTTTATGCTCTTAGTATATCTGTTTTTTGTTAAAACCCGTGACAAATGATTTAACAGCTGGGGGATTGTTTTTTCCATGGATGCTTCCTGGAACGAGACATTGTGGGATGGTTAAAATATGGAAGTTAGCGTGAGTCTAAGATTTCTGTCAACGTTGCATTCAAATTTAAGCTCTTGAGACTTCAAATGCAGGTGTGTCTGACAGGAATGAGATGTTTTAAAAAATGCACTGTGGTTAAAATGCATTCATTTCCATATCTTCAAGTAACCACACAAACCTGTTATTTAAATACGTTTTTATGAAGGCCTGATTGTCAAATGCATTCAATTGAGAGAGAATGAGGAGCTTAACATAACGTCTGTGTAAAATGAGGTGGTAAAAAATGATCCTCGTAGAGAATAAGCTAAGAAAATAATGGTGGTTTAAACGTAGGTGGAGAAACCAGAGGTCTTTTCCAAAAGTGTGTGACTAAATGAAAAAGCTTTTATTTAGCATTTTTATTTCTAGTGTAGTACAAAATTATTCATTCAATTTGAGGGGATCATTTACATTAATTAAAAAATTTAATAATATTTGGATTATCCCTCTTTTCTTTTAATGACAGCAACACTCCACAAGTTTGTGTAAAACCTGATGATCATATTCTCTATCATTATTTGAGATGATATAAATAGTTCTCCTAGATATAGTTGAGAATATTAAATATTTCTTATTCATTTCACATCATTAGTTTTCTTTGTTTCAAATATTCAACATTTCATTTCCAGGTGGAAAAATATTATTATTATTATTATTTTATTTTTTTTAGAATTTTGTACCCCCTTTTATGTTATTTTGTATGAGGTGGCTGTTGTCCTACTTTTATATTAAGGTACTGTATGTCCCCCTTCTGAATATGTCAAAGCATTTTTTTAGCACAAATGGCGAAGAAGTGGCACCCAGCCCTAAAACCCAGTTTTCTGTTAATCAGACTGTCTGAGAGTCTCTTTTAGATCAACTACTATTATTTATTAATTTTTTTTTTAGAATTTTGTACCCCCTTTTATGTTATTTTGTATGAGGTGGCTGTTGTCCTACTTTTATATTAAGGTACTGTATGTCCCCCTTCTGAATATGTCAAAGCATTTTTTTAGCACAAATGGCGAAGAAGTGGCACCCAGCCCTAAAACCCAGTTTTCTGTTAATCAGACTGTCTGAGAGTCTCTTTTAGATCAACTACTGTATGTTACAATGTACCTTTTTCACGTTTTGAGCACTGAGCACTGCTCCTTCACTATTTTACAGCCCCAGCTTAAATCATTATCAAATCCTGTCAGCATCATTTATTTATAAACTGAATATCCAGCAATATTATTTTCATCTACGAAACAAAAACCTCTCTGCAGGGAGAGAGTGTTTGGGTGATATTATATGCATGCACAGTCAGTTTTTTAGGCATATCTTTGGAGGAGAAAGAACTTGACCTTGTCTGGTTAAAATTTTATCTTGTATAAAGATGTTTTTGTTCCTGCATACTGCTAACGAACCAATGGGTACCTCTGCATGAGCTCCCCATTATGGGTCCTATTGATACTAAACCATGTTATCCATGTTTATTATTATTATTTTTATTTTATTTATTTATATTTATTTATTTTGGCATGCAAGTCAAGCTCCAAAAACCCCAAAGCAGGTTCATAAAAATGGCTGTGTCATCATTTGGCTCTCAAGTCAGTGCATAATTTGACTCTCAATTTGAGTTCTGGCACAAGAACCACACCATTTCAGTGAAAAAAGGGCATCCAAATTCTTAAAACAATCAGCAGTCTGACAGACAGAGCAGGCCATCGTGATAATGAAATAAAATGGACTTTGGAGGTTTGCAGACGCTTTGGGAGTCGAGATCTGGCAGATCTTCCAGTGACACACACCGTCAGAACTTAAATAACCTCCCCAAGGACGCCCCAGTTCTCTTTGCATTTCAGTTCCCCATGTCTCCAGTATAAGAGTCAAAATCAAATTATGGAAATTCCTGCCAGTCTACGCTTAGCCTTGAACAACTAGGCTACCGGGCTGTTTAGCACAAGTCTTCAGAATCCAAAGCCTTATAAAGACAGCACACAGACCACCAGAGCACAGTCAGTATAAGGTCATGTAGGAACAGTCAGACACAGGGTCACAAATATGCCTAAAGCCACAGTTCCTGATAGACCAGTACGTCATGCTGTGCCATTGGTGTTAATGTGTTTGGAATGTCAGCTGTGAGTAAGACCTGACGTTTGCTGAAAGTGTCCTTGTGGTTACAGATCTTGGCTGGTAACCGATAGGTTGTAGGTTTGAGTCTATTCAAGAACTGTCACTTTACTTCATAGGAACTGTCTATTGAATATGTGTACTGTCACTTTAAATTTTGCTACACTTTATTTAAAACGTGTCAGTTAACTGACTGCTTATGCATATTGTTTCACAATTAAAAATTACTTTTGTATAGATTTTGTGTACTGTTAATGACAAATTGTGATGCAACTTGCCAGAAGATGCTACATATTTACATAATTTATGAGATAGCGTACTGTCTTTTTAAATTTTACCACTTTACAGTATCAGTGTCAGTTAAATAACTTTTTATACCGATTTCAAATCACACTTCACAACTGAAAATAACTGTACAATATAGTTTATAGTGTAGATTTTGTGTACTATTGATGAAAAATTGATTACAACTTGCCAGAAAATGCTGCTTATTTACCTAATTTATGAGTGGATAGTCTTGCGCAACTAAAATAAATTATCCATCAATATTTGTGGGAGCATGGGAATGATTAAATAATAGATTAAGCATCAATTACACACCTAATGTGCATCCTTTGCTCTTCTTTTGGTTGCACTAGTGCTTAAAAGCTTCCTCACTTTGTTGGGAAGTAAGACACACCATCCGTTTTATCATTTGAATGCAGCATATATTATTTAGAAAGATTCTTTGCCCATTATTTATATTTTTTCTGGGCTTTAATAGGTAACGTTTCTCTTCTTGTCCTCTCGTTTTCCTGTATAGTGTTGTGATCTGGGATATCACGCCTCTCTGAACCGGGCTTTGCGGACCTACCTCTCGGCCGAATATAACCTGGAGACATCTCGTCACGAGGGTCTGGATATCATTGAGAACGCGGTGGACAGTCTGGACCCACGTAGTGACCGCCAGCGCTTCATGGAAATGTACCCTACTGCCTTCTGCCCACCCGTCAAATTTGAGTTCCAGCCACATATGGGAGATGAGGTCAGATTTAAACAAAGCCTTACCCACACACCCACATACATATGTACAAACAAAGTAGCAGCCACATTGTCACCCAGTGTTTGGTTAAGTTACATCTTAACACCATGTAAACTGAGAGAACTGAGATTTTCTTAACAGTCTGTTATGCTGTAGTTTTTTTGTATGTTTTCTTAAACTGCTTGTGTTGTAATTTCTATAAATGTATGTCTAGTAGTAGTACAAGTAGTAGAAGTATTTCTATAAAATCAAGGTTTTTTTTATTATTGGTTGATTATTTGGTTTTTCACATTGGATTGAATGCCTTAAAGTGGGACAAACCAAATTGTATTACAAATTTCCTCAAATTCATTGCTAATTGTTAACTGGAGGATGATGATAGTAAGAAAGAAGAAACATAAAGAAGCATCTGCAATATTTCCTAATAAATTGCCCAGAGACATGGCAAAAATATCACTTTTCAACCCAAAGTAGTGGGATTATTTCCAATTCACCCCATGTTCACTTTAAATGTGATGCTGTAATAATTTTTTTTTTATATATATCTGTCTTTATGTAACTGTCTATATATTTTAAAATATAATTTATTCATGTGGTGGCAAATCTATATTTTCAGGAGCCATTAATGCTGTCTTCAGTGTCACATTATCCTTTAGAAATCATTTAAATATGCTGATTTCAAGAATTTTCAAGAGATTTTTATCAGTGATTAATCAGTTGAGCTGCTTAATATTTTTTTTCGTGGAAAAGGCGATGCATCATTTACAGGATTCTTTGATGAATAGAAAAGTCAAAAGGACAAAATTTATTTGAAATAGAAATCTTCGTAAAATTATAAATGTTTTATTTTGATAAAAATGAATGCATCCTTGCTGCATAAGGTATTAATCTCTTTAAAAGAAAATGTACTGACCCAATACTTTTGAACTCCCATGGTACATCTACCAGCCCATCCATTAACCTCATGCTAATCTTGTCTAAAGCCATGTTGAAGCATATGAGATCATACAGGATACAGAGTGGAGAAAAGCGTCTTAATGAAATTCTGAATTATATGTGGTCAGGATTGCTTCATATCCTTCTTTTATTGTGTATCAGCTGGCAGCTTGTGCGCAGAGCGTTGAGAGCAAATCATATTGCATTTCTCGCCCTCAAGCAGTTTTGAGAGAGTGTTTATTGGATTTATCCTCCTTAATTGGCCATTTTGTCCCTGATATAATGTCTGCGCATGGTTTACAACCTGTTGTTTTGCAGTCATGCCTGTACTCTCTTGGTCAATGAAACCAACTGGGATTTTGCTTTATAAGAGTCGGTTATAATGATTGTGCCAGGTGTTGGTTATTTGTTTGAATATGAGATTCCTCCTCTAGGGAGCTCTGTTCTATTAGAGTAGGATCTCTAAAGGCCCGTTCACAACAAGGATGATAACTATAATGATAGCAATAAAGATGTAGTTTTAAAAATCATTCTAAATTGAAAAGAATAGCAGAGTCAACACCAACAATAACGATAACGGCACAGTGGAACAATATTGTTGGAATCACTTTCAAAGTGTTTTCCCAGCTGATGAACGATGAAAACATTGACAGCCAATCAGAATCCATCCTGCTTCAAAGAGCTTGAAATAGATGACACAACGTTGGTGGGTTATGGTTAATATTCTTTGGTGTGAACTGGCCTTAATGGTGACTATCATCTTGCTTTCTTTTAGAGCTGGGCGATAAGGCGAAAAACATTATTACAATATTAATTTACCAATAATGGAGAAGGAAATGCTTTCCACATGTTTGTTAGAGCTTGAGAATGAACGTAAACATAACTTGTTTCTTCACATTTAGTAAGCTAGAATTTAGGACCCCATTAAATTTGTTTTATTTTTTTCCATAAATTCTGTGTTAATGATTTAATACAAATTTATCATCAAAAAAAGGTGTGTGACGAAATTAATTAATAAAACTTGAATAATTTAATCAATCTTCTAAAATGTAATCAAATGAAAATATAACAATTAATGTACGACAAAGCATTGCATTTTAATTTTTTGTCAAATAAGATAAAAATTAAAACATGGATGAAAATATAAAGCATTTTAGTATACAGTAGTAATATAATTGTCATAATTTCTTCTCATTAAACCGAACTTTTATTTTGGCGGTTTGACGTGATGATCTTTGAGTTTCAGTGTGTATTTGACAGTAGTTTTTCTCAAATTAAACTATGAAAAGCTTGTGAAGTGACTCTCAGAGCAGCTCTGGAGTTCATGTGGACTGTCCTCACATATTGAGACGGCAGACTCAAAACACCGCGAGCATCACGTGTGTTTGATTTGTGTAGTAGATGAAACAGCACCACTTATTCACACAGAAACACGCACATGCACTGACTGGCTGTTGTCACGTTTATTTCTGCTGTGTGTCATAGGCTGATAGATTAATCCATATACAGTAGAAATGTCCAGAGCTTATCCTAGTTATCAACATAAATGTTATCGCAATCTTGATATGATATTATTTATCGCCCAGCCCTAGGGGGAGGGTAGTGGATGACGTTCCGGGTCACTAAAGACCCAATGTAGGTTAATGGCGACTGTCATCTTTCTGTGTTATAATTGAAAGTCTGTTTGTTTTCAGGTGTGTCAGATCACGGCCCAGCCTCCAGTGCAGGGAGAACTCCTCCTGAGGTTCCAGCAGCTTCAATCCCGTCTGGCCACCCTAAAGATCGAGAACGAAGAGGTAAGGTGACCCGAGCACCACCAGAAATGGTCAGGAGCAATGGAAGTTACATTTAAAATAGATCAAAATGGCATTTGCAATCAGTTTTAATCAAATCCCTCACCTATACCATCACTTTTGTGCCCTTGAGCACAAAAGGCTTTCCCAGAAATTCACTTTGGATTATAAAGCGTCTGCTAAATAACATCGGACGATCACCAGTGCTGAAGTGATTGTGTTCATTTGAACTGCATAAATGAATTTGAAAATGTTGTTAATAAGTTAGCCAAGTCCAGGAACGCGCATGGCGTATCTTCCTGTTGCATTAGAGCGAGGCAGCTTTGCAATGTGTTTGCTTAATTGAGTTGGCAAGAGCTGATCGTAAAAGAGGCTTTGGGAGGACTTACAAGAAATAGTTTTTTTCCTCCCTGCAGAGTTTTCACTGTCCTCCAGATAACCCGAGTGACGCACAGAGAGGCTTCTCTCAGTGACACCGTCTCCCTTTTCTTCCTGCAGACTGTGTCTGTCTTTTTCACATTTTATTATCTTTGCCTTCTCCAAGGCTGCATCATTTGAATCAGGCCTTAAGTCGAATGCTGAAAAACCACTCGGTCAGGAAGATGGAGGAGTCTGGAATCGCTTTTTGGCTTTATCGTGTCCATATTAGATGAACGAGTGTCTTACATCTGCCCTCTTCTTCTCTTATCTCCTTCCTGTTATTTCTCTGCCGTGAATCTTTTTCTCAGTTTTGACAGACAAAATCGCAATTTGGCACTGAATGTGTCCAGTGTGTGTAGTTGTTGTTCCTGCACAGATTTAACATGCCTTGTTAGCCAGATCTATATACAATATTTGATGCAGCATTACAAATGGTCAGTCCTGTGTGAATTTTATTGCTTCAGGGAGTGGTTTTGTTGTGGACCTATAATCCTTGGTAGACTTTTCCAACAAGGAGCTGATAAATCATCTGCTGTAAAGAACGATTGCTCAGCCCACTGTCAGTGTTGTCTTGGAAGCTAAATGGTTCTGGAAAAATGGCAAGCTAACTGAAATATTGCATATTGTAGCAGATTGTAAAAAACGAAAGAGGCTCATGCAATATTTAAAAAAAAAGAAAATTATTGTAAGGATGTGGAGAGCCTGAATGCTGTTTGAATACATGGCAGACTTCATGTTCAACAACAAGAGAGAATTTTATTAAATAGTATATTTTTATGCATTATAGTAAAAGGAATAAGATTGTATTTGTTTTTTATTTGTTTACAGTGTTCTATTTATTTATTTATTTTTATTTAATGCTCTTAACATTGTCTGTTCAAATAAATAATATTTAAAAAAAAAAATCACATATTTTATAAGCCTACTTTGGGCATTGCTTTGTTAAAAATACTTTTTTTCAGTAGTTTTTGTCCCATTTTTTTCTTTAAAGTGTGTATATTTGGTTATGTTGTCATTGACCAGAATTTTGAAGAATATTGTAGAATATTGAAAATATATATAAAAAAATTGTAAACAAAAAAAATTGTTAAAGAAAAATAAAGCTTTTGCTAAATTTTTGACCTTAAACTATTGGGAATAGCCATTTTAATTGACCAAACAACACTGTTATCAGTCCTAAATATTGTCTGATTGTATATTGTATATTGTTCTGTCACTAGTATTTTGCATGTGCTAAATGACAGGTGTTTATAGTGACTGGACCACTGACCAAGCTGAAAGGAAGTGGAAGGATGTGAGGTCAGGGCACTTCCTGGTTACTCCAGATGGCTTAAAGCATCTTTTGACTTCAGACTCAAGGTCTGCAATGAACATGACACAGGATACTGGACATAGTGTTGAGTTTTTGTGCAGCTGTTTCCTAGAACCTTCACTGATTCAGATGACAAAAGAAAGGATTCGAAGAATACATTATTATAGTATAACCGCCATAAACCACTCAGCTTTGCCTCGTTCTCAAACACACCTTTTTTCGGACACAAAGGAAGAATATATCTGTCAATTCAAGCTTCCTGTTTCATCCTTTCATTTTTCTTCAGCAATTATCCAGCTGTCAGCTCTTCTTTTTTCCATTCTTCTTCTCAAGCTCATAATTGAATAATGTAAATAGTGTTTGCTGTAGAGATTAGGGTGAGATTGGAGTTCTCAGAGGAGAATTGACAGTGTTATCTCTGACTTTCTGTCCCACTCCCTTTATCTTTCTCTCCTGCCCTTCTTGCCTTCTCTAATGGATATTCTGCTCACATCAGACACTAAAACCCCACTAAGGCACTGCGTAGATCTCCGTAGGAAGTGTCTGTTTGTTTTGCAGGAGACAAACCTCTGGGAGGCACATCAAACGCTGGGAGATCTGTGTCCTGCTCCTGCTGCTGCGTGAAGCACTGATCGTCTGATTGCGGCCCTCTCTGCTGCCTTTGTACTGATTATCGGGCCCTTCTGTTTGTGCTAATGCTGATTGCTGGAGTGCTACAGATGTGCCAGAATCAGTCTTACAGATCAAACAGTCAAAAGAATACTGATCAGCAAATAGGCGTTTCCAACCGATAAATGATTTGGTTGTACATAATGCTGCATCTTTCCATATAAGTATATGTTTCATTATGTTATATAATGCATATCAGATTCATGTACATTCTGATGTGAATATATTTGCAAAGATATAAGTATATCAAAGTTTCATGGCATTTCTGTCATGAGATGTGGTCTGGCAGGTATTATGTAGCCAACTTTGAATCCGGCTTAGGTAATTTTCCAATCTCACCTGCCACTGTTCTCTGTATCATTACCTGTCTGATTTTTAGAATGTCATTATGAATAAAGTAACAAAAAGCCAAATATCAAATAATAAAAAAAAGCTTATTACCTACATAATGTATAATGATCTGCATATACAACATCAGCTGATGATCTGTTAAGCATCTTATAATGTAAAAAATAATATAAGTACTGACAATGCGTTTGAAATGTCACATTTTATGAGTCAAAACTGTATCAGTGTTATGTTAGTATCATTGATATACTATTGTAGTTTTTGTTAACTAAAGCTATAGTCAATTTGTTGTTTTTGTATTTTTATTTATTTTTATTTATTTTATATGTATTTTTTATTTACATGTACACATGAGGGATTGGCAAGCTTTTTCCCAATTTTTTTTTTTATCTTGCTTTAACTACTTTTTTTCTGCAGATATAGATAGATGGATGGATGGATGTATAGATAGATTTTAATTATTTTATAAGTAATTCACACTACATACTATTTTAAAATATACACTTCGAAAGTAGGGCTCAGTTGAGTTTTTTTCTTTTATTATCTGAAGTCTAGTTTATATTTAGCGTTCGTGTCTTTAATCTCATGAGGTTTAAAAAAAAAAAAAGCTGAAGAGCCCAGGCTTTTCAAGCAGCGTTAAATAGACTTTTAAAAAATCCCTCTTATTTTCCACATCATTTCATTTAGACTGCTTTCATGTCCTTGAAACAGAGCTCTTCGCTTCCCCCTGCACTCAGTTTACCTCTTTGTAACCTGTCTGCCTTTTGTTATTGCTCAGCTGAGGTTGACTTTCCAAGTAAACCACATGCTACAAGACAGGTGCGGCATATCATCCATAAAGGCCCTCACCAAAACCAGACCACAGACTGTTTAACGTCAGGAGGCGGGTTTAAACCTGTGAACATCTCTCAGTGTTTTAGTCGTCACAATAGGTTGGTGAATCACAAGTGGAACAGTGACCTGGATCCAGACTTTTTTAGGTGTGAGTGCTGGTTTCCATTGACTTGTATGTCATCCTCTATTGATTTGAAGGATGATTCAGCCTGAAATTGACAATGAGAGATGAGCTCACTGTGTGATGAAACTGCTGTAGTTTTATGCTGCGTGATACCGTGTGGTGATACACACTGTGGTTGTGTGACATTGTCTATAGTTGTCTATATGTATCTTCTTGTGTGTTCTGCAAGAAGATTGCCGTGTTTGTGCAAACAGAAAAAGCTCTGCTTACATTCAGAACTGTGTGTGTGTGGGTACGCGTGTGAAAGAGAGCATGTCAGCATAAGAGAAATTTGCTCTTCCATACTGTGCAGCCTCTTTCAGCAGTTGAACAAATGCTTCCACTGAGCGATTGCACCAGCTTTAAACATCTTTTCCCCATCTTATTCTTTTTAACTCTTGCTTTCTCCTTTTTGCCATTTAATGTGGTTAAATGATTAGATCGTTGTATTATTTTTAGTAATATATATTAAACTCTCTCTAAATTTTATATAAAATTTAATTTAAATTTACTTTTATTTTATTTATTTATTTCCACTGAGTGATTGCACCAGCTTTCTCATTCTCGTTTTCACAGTTTCATGTGGTTAAATAATTGTTTTAATGATATTAATATATATTTAAAAATGTAATTAAATCACACACACAATTTTAATTAAATTTGTTATGCATGTGTATATATATATATATATATATATATAATGTTTTATTATAATTTATTGCTTTTTTTCATTCAATATAATTTTTTTTTATATTTCCAATTTGATCTTTTTTATCTCCTTGCCTTCTCCTTTTCACAATTTTATGTGGTTAATTTATCATGTTTTTAATAGTGCTGTCAGTTGATTAAATATTGTAATTGGGTTCATTTACATGATGTGCTAATTACATAATCAAATTATAACAGTATTCATCAGTATTTGCCGAGAAACGCAAATTAAAGCATTGAATGCACATTACAAAAAGTGGCTTTATATTGTTTATAAAGCCTGTCACTGGTTTACAATTCACTTTGCAATTTGCGATCACTTTGTCAGTCTGTTCCTCTTGGGATATAAGGGTACAGTTCCAGATATTTAGAACTGTATGATAATGTTGCATGTCTGACACTGGAAAGATACAGAAATTAATCCTCAAGGCCATCAAATGAATGATGGGTCCCTTGGGTCATCTTCCGCTCCCCTTGCTATAAATTGATTTCTTTGGTCTGGTGTCTTGCTCAAGGCCTGCTATTAGTCACAGAGCACATGTCATGCAGGGACTGTCAGAGATTTTTTTTATTTGGTGCTTAATGTGTTTTTCTAGCATTTTTTTCCTCCTCTTATCACTCTTGCACTGACACACGTTCTTATTAATAAATGTTGCAAGACTATTCTAGAGTTATATTGTTTTGGATTGTGCCTCTAATACTGTAACAAATGATAAAAATTACTCTTTGTTGCTAGTGTCTGCTACATGACTGTCTTTCCTACTAAAAATGTTGTCCTGTTTCAGATTAAGAAGACCTCAGAGGCCACTCTCACTACTATCCAGGACATGGTGACCATCGAGGACTATGACGTGTCCGAAAGTTTCCATCACAGCCGCTCCACTGAATCGGTCAAGTCCACCGTGTCGGAAACCTACCTCAGCAAGCCGAGCATCGCCAAGAGACGCGCCAACCAACAGGAGACGGAGCAGTTCTATTTTATGGTCAATTTTGCTTCATTAAGATTTACTAGTATTTTAAATTAAATTGATCACTTTATTTAAATAAATATTTTTCATAGGCATGTTATCAAGTTGCATCTTTAAACTGGTGCATTTTAAGAAAGATTTGCCAAGACTGGTTGTTTTTGAGATTTTAATTTACTTATTTATTATTATTAAAGAAAGAAATGTAGAAATAAATTTTCATAGATAAAATTTTCATATAATAAAGTTTCATTGTGCAATATAAGAAAGTCTTGCAAAAAAAGTATTTAATTTAATTTTTCATTTACATATTTTAATTTAATTTTATATTATTCAATTTTAATTAAATAAGTCACTTTATTTAAATGTTTTTCATAGGCATGCTATCAAGTACTTTAAACTGGTGCATTATAAGAAAGATTTGCCAAGATTGGTTGTTTTTGAGACGATAGATAGATTATTATTTTTTTATTATATTTTATTATTTTATGTTTTATTATTATTTATTTTGAGGGAAGAAAAAGCTCAATGAGTTTCATTGCTCGTAACAAATATTTATGGCTGGTATGTTTTCTCAATTCACTCTCCACTGGCGGATGTGGCAAAAAAGTTCATTCTGGTGCTGTGCTTGCTCAAGTCAATCTGCTGTCAAATGTTTTTGGTCTCAGGCTGGTCTCAATCATGTCTCTTCACAGAAGTTCCGCGAGTATCTGGAGGGCAGCAATCTCATCACTAAGCTTCAGGCAAAGCATGATCTACTGAAGAGGACCCTCGGTGATGGTATTGTTTGCTTTTCTTTGTTCATAGGGTCAGCCCTTTGAACTGAAAACACACAATGATAGAGATAATTTATAACATATTTGGATCATAATCCTCTTGGCCAGTAGAAACCAGCAGGAAGCTGCTCATGTGGGTGATGCAACTTCATATTAACCTCATATTAATTAAGCGCGATAGTATGGAGGATTATAATTCCCGCATCATGTATAAATCTCATGTTGCCTCTTCATGTTTTGGAGCCCGGGGCATTTCAGTTTTGTGTTGTGAACACTGCAGACTCTGCTGTCAGGGGCCGCTAAGTGAACGCTGTGTGGGTGGGATCAACAAATCATGTTCCCTTGCCTAAAATCAACCGTGTCTGTTTTTTAAAGATTGTAGGCAGTAGTCTGCCTTCTGCATACTGACACTTCGATTAAATATTTTTATAGCTAAACGGGTACGTGTAATTCAAACGAAGACTTTCTCTTTAAAATGTACCAATGTCCTAAAGGTGTATGTGTGGATGTCCAGTTCCAGACAGATGGCTGGCTGCATGTGCTTTACTGAGCATAAACGAAAGCCTCCCCTGGGCCTCTGAAGAACAGTTCTCACATTCTCTCTTTTCTCTCTCTCTCTCTCTCTCTTTTCTTTGATCTGTTTCTCACACAGGTTACCGGCCTGAGTATGCGACTACAAGGTAAAAAAATGTTCTCTGCCCTATTCAGTTTGTCTTGTTGGTATCGTCGTCAGCACATAAAGTGTCAGATGTAATATTAGTTTGTTAACATTTCTCTCAAAGATTACAAGCAAAATGTGGCATGAATGAGATCAGTTCTGTCTGTCTTCTGTCTATCCATCCTACTGTATTTATCTGTTTTTTTTATATGTCTGCATATCTGTCTGTCGATCTATTTATCATTCTATCATTCTATCTATCGTTCTATCTGTCATTCTGTTTAGTCTGCAATTCTGTCTGTCATTCTGACTATTGGTTTGTCTGGTGTTCTATCTCTGTCAATTTATCTATCGTTCTGTCTGTTTTTATATCTATCAGTTGTTCTGTCGTTCCATCTGTCATTCTATCTATCATTCTGTTTTTCTATATATGATTCTATCTTTTTCTGTTCTATTTTTCGTTCTACTGTTCTAGCCGTCATTCTTTCGTTCTATCATTCTACCTGCCATTCTGTCTGCCATTCTATCTATCAGTCTGTCTGTTAGTTATGTTGTTCTATCTATTAGTTGTTCTGTCTTTCTGTCAGTTCTGTTTTCATTCTATCTGTCGTTCTGGTCGTTGTTCTGACATTCAATCTTTCTATCGTTTGTTCTGTTGTTCTATTAGTCATTCTATCTCTGTCTGTCATTATGTTTATCATTCTATCAGTTGTTCTATCTATGTATCTGTTGTTCTTTGTAGTTCTGTCCTTCTCTCTATCTATCAGTCTATTCATTCTATTGGTCTGTCATTCTATCATTCTGCTTATCACACTGTCATTGTATCGTTCTATCTGTTATTCTACAGTTCTAACTGTCTATCATTATTTCATTCTATAAATCATTTTTTATCAATCTTTCTATCTATAGTTCCTTTCATTGTCCTGTATTTATAGGTACACTATACATACTATCTCTATATATACAGCGTATAGTGATAAGGTCCGAACAGTAGACCAAATGCTTTAGACTGCTTAATTCAACACAATGCTTTGCACTAATAGTGCTTTTTTATATTCAACCTCTCTCAGAATTCTTACAGGGCACAGTTTAAAAGCATGTGAAAAAGCATGTGAAAAAGCTCTCCTCTTGAGTAAGGGGCAAGTTTACTGTATTCCTGTAGACATTGAAGAGGGAGCTGACAACATTATGAAATTGAACTCAGATTTTTAGGTATAACCCCATAGGATCTTTTCTTTAAAACACCAGCTGCCACCAGCCAAAAGATTTCATGCTTGGACATCTCATGTCCACAACTTCATTTTGCCTCGATACACTGAGGATTGTTCGATACACTGTACTGTATTTGCTAAAGCTTACAACAGGTTCAAGATTAAAAGTATAAACATCTCTTTATAGGCCTCCCAGTCTTCCTCCTAAACCGTTCGGCACACAGAGGCCCAGGCCACGCTCTGTATTTAACGTTAAGCTGTTTAATGGCAATTTGGAGTCATTTGTTAAGGTACTTAGCGCTTTGGGTGCCGTACTACCTGCACTGAATACCGCCGCTTGAAGCCATAATGATCCACGGCTACTTGCTTCTACTTGACTGATCATTATGGCTGGGGAAGGTTTTAAACAGAGCAGAAACGGAGGTGTGTGTGGGTGTGTGTACACATAAAGCGAGATGACGGAGATAAAGTGAGCTTCAGGCATCAATATTCACACAGATGCCTCAGGGCAGCATGAAAGCCTCTTAAAGGGATAGTTCACCTAAAAATATAAAAATCTCTGTCGCGTGTTGTTCCGAACCTGAATTTTTCTCTTCTGTGGAACGCAACAGAATGTTCTAGAATGTTCACTCAGCTCTTTTCCATACAATGAAAGTGAATACTGAAGACAGGTGTTGTAAAATGAGCCTTATAAGACGATTTGATGGATTTGTGTGAGAGTGAAATTTAAGTTTAAACTTGGCAAATCACACAGTTATGAGACATGAGAATTAAAGGAGTGGTTGATCAGCTTTTTTCGAAGGGTTGATTGTGTTTATGGGGTGCAGGGTAACGTGTTCATGCGTCGTTTCTTTTAAAAACGCATTATTTTCACATATTTTACCTTTCTTCTAAATACACGATGGGCTCAGATTGGTTAGCTGGCCCAGTGTGTTGTGATTCGCTGACTGCCTAGTGCACATTGTACGGAAACGTCACGCCCCCTTACCAATACGGGTAGTTGCATGTTCCCGGGGGCAGAGTTTATGCAAACATCGGGAAGAAGCTCGTTGTAGTCCCTACCAGCCTTTTTTGTAGTCCTTAAACAGCGATTTCTTTAAAAGAAAATATCTCCCTTTGCATTGAACGTAGAGCGTCGCAACTTTGCAGACGTTTATGCTCTAACAGCTACATTATACACTGACTAAAGTTAAAAAAGTGAAATAATCAACCACCCCTTTAATGCTGTTTGACATCATTGACTTAAAGCTTTGATTTTTAGCATAAAATGACTTAAATTTCCATCTGTTGTGCACATCAAACTGTTGCTTAGGTGTGCACTTTAAAAAGGGTCTGTAAGGCTCAAGAAGGATTATCTTCTCATCTCCGACATGAATGATACATGATGTGTGGGATATTTTCAGTTGATTTAGAGCTAGACTGATTGTTTAGCCCACATCCTGATTTGATGCCAATGTTTGTCTTGTTTTAAGGACTCTGGACAAGCAATACCAAGAGTTGTTGAGAGCTGTATTCGATTCATCAACCTGTATGGTAAGTTTATTGCAATAACCTTGTAACTTAAACCATAAAATACCCATAATTCTTTAGAATGGCCCACTATTGTCATTAAAACACCCAAAAAGCCTGAAGATGAAGTTTACAGCTATGCTATTGTCTTTAAAATGGTCCAATCCAATTGCTACCTGTCCTGTCATTAGTTAGGTTTGGGACAAATTTAGAGTCTGATAATGGTCAAGTTTTTGCGTGCCCCTTCCGAATCTGTCCCATCCCAGTGTAGGCCATGCACAGACTTGTTTTAGATCTATTTCAAGTTTAGTGTTTTTAAATGATGTGCTTTCCTGTCAGCGTCAGAGGATGTTCAGTCCAAAGAGGTCTTTATCATATGCCTATATAAACTGTGTACGCGGTTGTAGATCCTGTGTGCCTATTGTAAGCTCTGAAAGTTGTCTGTGTGTGGCCGTCTTACTGGAACTATAGAGATGTTTTTAATTAATCTTTTCTGACCCTCAGCCAAGCTTTCCATTAAAAGCTAATCCGGACTGACGGATGTTTTTGTAGAAGTTGATTGCAGTCTCTCTCCTTCATTCATTATCTTTAATTAGAAAAAGGGAACTTTTCGAAAGCACAGGGCTTAGCTTTTGAGGTTGGGATTTGAATGTGGTTACTATGGACCAGCCTTTATTTCCAGCGGATATAAATGGACACTGGAAGACGTCTTATTTCACAGTTTTTCTCTCTATTTTTTAGGCCTCCAACATCAAGGAATATTCCGAGTATCTGGATCTCAAGTTGAAGTCAATGATATCAAGAACTCTTTTGAAAGAGGTGTGTGTGTAAATGTGGTAACAGAGTTCAGGTTTCTGAAAGCGCTGCCGCAGCTGAATGATAGTGAATCTCTTATGTCTTCAATGGGTCATATGAGCCATGAACCTAAATTCACATGATTTAAGGAGACTTCCTTCCTTGGAAAAACATCTACCGGGGAGAACATGTTTTTGACATTTTTCTTTTTATTTGTATAGATCCATATTTCCATATCAGTATTTCTTGCATGTCAAGATAAGGCAAAATAGTTTATTAGAAGTTGTGTTTTCAACAAATGCTGATGTTTAGGTTCTTTTTTGTGTGCATATATTAAATATAAATATTTTGTTCAGCAGATTTGACACACGTTATGTCTCTTAGGTAATGATCCCCTGACAGATGAAGAGAATAACCACGATATAAACTCTGTTGCGGGCGTTTTGAAACTCTACTTTCGAGGTTTGGAGAACCCTCTGTTTCCAAAGGAAAGATTCAATGATCTCATCTCTTGTGTCAGTAAGTGCCTTATTTATTTTTTTTGCTTTCTATTGACCTGCAGCTGTAAATCTGTCATTGATTCTCAGTGTGAATTAACAGTGCTTTGAACTGTTATCGTGCGCTCTCACATAAAGAGATCTCAGTCATTTGCCCCCAACAGTGGGACAGTGACTTTCTTCCTTCTATGACAAGACCTTAAACAGCGATTTCTTTAAAAGAAAATATCTCCCTTTGCATTGAACGTAGAGCGTCGCAACTTTGCAGACGTTTATGCTCTAACAGCTACATTATACACTGACTAAAGTTAAAAAAGTGAAATAATCAACCACCCCTTTAATGCTGTTTGACATCATTGACTTAAAGCTTTGATTTTTAGCATAAAATGACTTAAATTTCCATCTGTTGTGCACATCAAACTGTTGTATGTCTTCAGAAGTCTTGAAATAAATAGCACATGTCATGTTGACCACTTTTATGGTGCTTTCATGGTCATATTTGGAGTTCATCGCCATCTAGCTATATTCAATTTTGTTGAATAAGGAAAAGAGTGACTTGTATTTGTTTATTTTTGGGTGAACCATGGAAAAAAAGCAAGTCGAAAAAGTTTGGAACGACGTAAGGGAGAGTAAATGGTGACAGATTTTTGCTTTATTTTTGGTGAACTACTCTTTTTCAATACCTATAATTTAAGCAAAATTTGTGTCAGCACACCCCCTCTTTTTCTCTCTGTGAGGCTGGAGCTAAATGGTGTCATTGGAAGACTAATAATGATTTTGTAGGCTGTTGTTGGTGGCTTGTAGTGCTGGGACCAAATAACCTGGGGATCGCCTCTTTCTCTCTGTTTTTCTGCTCTCTCACTCTCTGGCTCTCTGTCCTGATGACAAGACGTCCAGCGCCTCAGGCTAACGCTAACAGCCTTATGCACACTCCATTACAGCACAGTGTGTGTTCCACCATGGCATGACACATTAGGGCTTCAGCTGGTCCTTCAACTGGCATGAATGCAACTTTGTGTGAGTTTGAAAGAGCTCAGAAAGCGTGCCTTATCATGATCATAGATGACGCTACACTGCACTGAATGAATGAATGAATGCAGTGTGACACCATGATGCTCAGTCGTTTCGGTTGGGTTAATGGGATATTTGTGATTGATAGCTCGGTAAGCTGTGCCACTTTTTATGCCAAGATTGTCCTCTAATCAAATAACAATATGATGTTGATTTAACATTTCTAATAAAAATATGGACATACATACAGTAAATGAGTTATGGACATAATGACTGTATGCAATAGTGTATTTAAATTATATATTATATAAATTAATTAATTAAAAAAATCATTATATTAAATAAAAATATACAAATAAAAATTATAAAATATATCAATTTTATATATATTATTATATATTTTATATATAGTTTTAAATATATATATATATATATATATACTGTATTCATTCAAAAACTATTTAAAACTATCATAGTAGTTGAAGTACTGGCATAGTTTAACCTGAATCTTCTGACAAACTTAAGCCCAGAGCTACAATTTTGAGATATATCTTTCATTTAATAATTCATAACTAATATTTAGCCTAATAATTCACATGGTTTATAGCCATTAGCATTTTTAGACCTGGATGCATTTACTTTGACGTTTACCTGCCATGTAGAAAATAGTTTTTCAATTATTTTACATGCAAAAACGTTTTTAGCATAAATATATCACTTGTAGCTTTATATGACAGGCCTTTCTAAATATTTGGCCACTTGTCAAAATTAGTGCAGAGTTTGCTAGATTAAGGTGCCGTGCGCTTGCATGTGTGGGTTGGGTGGGTTTTGTTAGTCTGTGCATGTGGAGTAATGTAAAGGCATGTGTTCATACATACCTGACCAACGTGCGGCCCTGTGCCTGTGACACTCTGTAGAGTGTGACGAATGAGGATTCCCTGCTGTTTACATTTACACACGACTAACCCCTTCCCATCATACCACACACTCTCTCCAGCGCACACGGCTTCTCCTGTTCTCTGTCCCCGGCAGATCTATATATAGACTGTCAGAGTTGTGCGTTCTCTGCACTGTAGGAGTTTTGTTTCTGCAGACATGTGCCTTGTCTGTGGTGAGGCTTTAAACTGCTTCTCTTACTCAGGATCTTTTGGAAACCCAGTTTCGTGCTCAAGTAAGACGAATAACAGTAGCATAGTAGCATGTTCCCAGATCTTTTTTAATGGTGACATGGCTATTTTACACTGCTATCAGGATAAATCGAGGATCTGGGTGTACTAAAGTATGGATTAGAGCAGGTCACATCAGTTTATAATTAGGCTGATTTTGCTTTTATAAGTTCTATGTGTCTCACAGCCAACCCATGGGATTTTTAGTGGAAATGTCTTGGTAGTCAGATCAAATCGTAAAATAAGAAGGAAATCAGAAAGATCACAGCTGATATTGTATCCAGTTCAGTCATCATACCAGTTGTTGCCTTGTAATAGTAGAATAGTATCCTTCCAAACACGGCCTGAGAGTGCTTTACTTAGGAGACCACAAAGATGCGTAATGGAATTCCAGGAAGTGAGTTACACTGGCTCCAATGAGAAAACCCAGTGAAATCTGTGTGCATTCCTGCAGAAGAGCCGCAGGAATACTCACACACATTTTTGGGATGCCAGTCTTCTGGATTAATTTTTTAAGCTCCTTTAAAAAGAGGAGTTGAGTAGTTTTGAGACTTTACCTCTTTTAATGCTCTGGTAATCAGCTTCATTAGGTCCAGGGTGAGGGCCAACAAACCCGGCAATTTAATTTAATGAACACAAGTGAATCGCCTGTTTGTTTGTTTTTTATTTGCTCTTTTTTTTTTTTACAGATAACTTGTTTAATGCGGTTTGCTCTATGTGGTGATTAAAACACTGAATCAAAGAGTGTGTGACAGATACACCTACCTCTATCTGTCATGTCCTCGGTTACAGACTTTTCTGTAAAGTGCAAGTGCATGTACTATATGCTTATATATATCTTCTGGGGCAATTTAAAACAACAAATCAGTATTATTTTAGTATTTTTATATGCTTTTATAGTATTTTTTTACATTTTGAATTAACTTTTATTTATATATTTTAATTTTAGTTGAGTAATTTTGTTATATGCTTTTGTAGTTTTTATTAGTTTTTTCTTATATTTTGTAGATTTATTTTTGTTTCAGTTTTAGCCATTTTAGTTCTTCAACTTAAACTTTAGTTAAGTTAGTTGTTAAGACAACATTTTCTTATTTTTGTTTCTAGCTTAAGTTTTCCATCTAATATTTATATTTTATTTTGTTTCAGCTTTATTTCAGCTCCCCAATAGTTTTAGTTTTAGTTAACAATAACAACACTGCAACAATTTCAAAAATAAGTCATGTGTTTTCCACTGAGAGTTGGCTATTGGAGGCGTCCTTTTGCAACATGACAAGGTTGGCACAGAGTTTAACTTTGTGTGATTGAACAGCGGTCCAGAGTTATTTTTCCCCCCACATAATGAGCTCAGCCTTATAACTCCATGAATAGAGCTGCAGTGATGTGGTTATCAGTGAATTAACACGTTCAGATAGAGGAATGTCATTAGATACTCAGGGCTGCTAAGTGCTGTGAATGACCATGGCAGTCCTGAATAATCATTTCTGAATGTCATGGCAGGACAAGTATGTTTCTAGGACTCCTAAGTGGGAGACTTGCATATATATATATATTTATATATTTTTTTTTTCTCTTTGATTTTTACTTGATTTCTCTTTTTTTTTACCCTTTCTCTGTCTTTCTCTTGTAGGAATAGACAATCTGTATGAGAGAGCGCTGTATATACGAAAGATTCTTCTAACTGTACCCAGATCAGTCCTTGTGGTCATGCGATATCTGTTCGCCTTTCTCAACCAGTAAGTCTGAATGTTTCACAAACACACAGATGAATGTCCTTATGGAAATGCTTTTTCCATAAATGCTTAAATTAACAGTTCTTAAAATGAAAATATACAAGAATGTTCTTGCTTTTTTGCTGGTTGCCAGATGTCCTAATAGCTTGCTTGTTTTTCCTGCAGCTTGTCCCAGTACAGCGATGAAAATATGATGGACCACTATAATCTGGCCATCTGCTTTGGCCCCACCCTCATGCCCACTCCAGAAACTCAGGACCAGGTCTCCTGCCAGGCCCATGTCAATGAGGTCATCAAAACCATCATCATCCATCACGAGACCATCTTTCCTGACGCGAAGGAGCTTGACGGCCCCATGTACGAGAAGTGTATGGCAGGCGGAGACTATTGGTGAGTGCTGAGATGTAATGGTGATGTTGGTTTTAATTATTTATTGATAACTGTCTGGGCAACTGCATGTAGGTGGGTGAAGGAAGTGTTTATAAGATAGATGTTCATGGGTTGCGCAACCTGAGAGATGAGAATCGAGACAGTGTTTGAGCTTGTTAAAGTTTTAGACTTTATTGTATTTTTGAGGATTAGTGATGGTATCCGGACATCCATGGCGTGACTCGAATGAAATAAAAGAAATGATTAGTCAGTGCTATAGTGAGTCACTTATTTTGTTAGCACAGTTTTTGGGTGGGACCTCTTTGTTTTGAAGATCATCTGATCTAGTTGATCCAGGAGGCGAGCATAAATCCTCATAAAATATTTGGAATAAAAGTAAAACAGGTCAAAAATGCATAATTTATAGAGATAGTCATCCAGAAATGGAAATTCTGTCATCATTTACTCACAATCCAGCATCATTTTATTATTAATAGTGCTCCGTTTGCTATTATTATTATTAAAATGTATCGCATTTTTAAGGGCCTAAACATGCTTGAAAACTCATGAAATTTTACACACACGCCAGAAGTGGCGAAAATTTTCGTCTGATATATGTTTCAGAAGTGGGTGTGGCAAAATGGCTCGACAACGCCACCTATACACTTTCAACGAAGTACCCCTCGAGCTACGTTTTACGTACATGTATGAAATTCGGTAGACGCATGTAACACCAATACCTACTCTTGGAGCCAAATCCAAAACCCAACAGGAAGTCAATTATTTTGAATTTTCTCTGCTCTGGGTGTGTGTTCACGGGGTGTGTGTGTGTTTACTACTCACTGTTGTGTGTGTGCACTTGTATGGGTTAAATGCAGAGCACCAATTGGCTACACGTCTCATCACTTTTTTCAAATTTTGTGTCAATTTTGTGTCAGGCATTGTAATCCAACAAACTCCTAGAGATTTAATCAAATTTTAATCTTGAGTTTCCATGTTTGGTTAGAGTCCTGTCCTGAACACATGCCCATGCCCATGTCCATGCCCATATTCTGTTACAGTCATAGCGCCACCTTCTGGCAACAGGAAGTGACATGTTTTGCTCTGTAACGAACTCCTCCTAGAGAATTAAGGACATAAAATTATATTTGGTCAGTCTAATCTAAAGGCCTTTGCGATGTTAAATTGCGAAGATCTTGAGTTTTCGTTAAAGAGCGTGTCCGTGGCTGCCTGACAAATTTCGATGTTTCGCCATGGAAAAGGAAGTTGTTGTAACTCAGCCATACAATGTCCGATCTGCCACAAACTTCACACGTTTGATAAGAGTCCTGGACTGAACACATCTAAAGACCACTATTCAGTTATATTCACAGCACCACCTGCTGGCAACAGGAAATTACTTGTTTTACACTAACTTAAACATGCAATGTCTGATCTGCCCCAAACTTCACATGTTTGGTAAGAGTCCTGGCCTGAAAACATCTACATGCAAATATTCAGTTATAGTCATAGCGCCACCAGCTGGCAGCAGTTTTCCTATGTGAAAAGATGAGGTGCCTATAGTGAGCTCTTTAGTTAAGGTGGGACATTTTTTAGAGGCCGAAAGGGTTTCGAGATCTTCAACTAGGTGAGACAGACTGAAACCAATTGAAACTAATTGCTGCCATTAAGGTAAGGAAAGATCGTCAGCCAAACCAACGTTAATTTCTCCCAAAAATTCGCATGGATGAGAAGAGGAAAGAGACATTTTCCACCAGCTCCACAGCTGTGTGTATATGTTGGCTAGTGATTTTGTTGTCTCAAAGAGAGCAGCCTAACTCCCACAAGTCTTCATCCCCCAAACTGAAGCAAAACACCTGCCACTGCAAGCATCTATACTTCAGCATTTCAGATATTACATCTTAAACTTCCCGCAGCCGGTTCTCATATTTTCCCCTTTGGTAGTGTGGCATGCGGGAGTGGCAGTGCTCTGTTTGAAATTGCTTTACTGTGTGTCAGAGGTAATCTGCATGGATGTGAAGGGCATTAGTGCCAGTCTCAGTAGCCACGCTGTGCCACTGACAGAATCCCAATCACCCTGCCCTACTCCTCTTGAATACTAATGACAGCCTCTGTACTTTTTGCTTGATGCTGAGTTTTACTCTGGCTGTGACTTAACTCTGTGTTGCCCTGTATAAGCATTTACATACAAAAATAAATTACCATTTAAAAGTTTTAAGTCATTAAGAATTCTCTTAAGACCACCATCATTTATTTGATTAAACATACTGTAAAAACAGTAATATTTTTAAATATTATTACAATTTAAGGTAGCTGTTTTCTATTGTGATATATTTTAAAATATCATTTATTCCTGTGATGGCGAAGCTGAATTTTCACCAGTAATTACTTCAGTCTTCAGTGTCACATGATCTTTCAGAAATCATTCTAATATACTCATTTGGTGCTCAAGAAACATTTCTCATTAATGTCAATTTTGAAACAGTTGAGCTGCTTAATATTTTTGTGGAAACCGCAATACATTTTTTTCAGGATTCATTGGTGAATAGAAAGTTCAAGAGAACAGCTTTTCTTTGAAATAGAAATCTTCTGTAACGTTATAAATTTTGATCAATTTAATGGGTCCTTACTGAATAAACGTATTTATTTCTTAAAAAACGAAATCTTTCTGACCCCAAACTTAACCCCAAAACAGTAGTATATTTGTATATTAGGATGCACAAAACCAGTCAAAAGTTTGGTCCAAATTATGTAGTGACCAATAAATGTTAAACAAATTAAAACTATGTTATATATTTTAATATTTTTTTACTTTACTTTTTAAATGTTTTATAGTGATTTATACATATAGACAGACTTCACAGTTTGTGTATATACAAAATTCGTTTCAAACATTAAGCACATGACTTTAGAACAAAAGGTTTTGAAGCTCATCAGAAACATTTAATTATCTGACTTTTATTATTAAGTCCTTAAATATTTGGTTATAGTTCCTATAAACCTACTATTTGGCAAAAATAATTATTTGTCTTGATTTATTTATTTCTTTTCTTCTGCAGTGAGAGTCCATACAGTGAACATGGAGCTCTTGAAGAGGTTGATCAGGATAGAGGAGCGGAGACCCACACCAGTGAGGATGGTAAGTTTATTTTGTTTACCACACCCTGTAGTAGTATGTACAGTATGGCAACCCATACCAGTTTATGTAGGTTATACATTAAGAAAGCACTCTGAGGTCATAGGAACAAGGTTAAGTCATCTTTTCCTGTCCAGTCATTCTTCTCATTGGCTCAGATTGGCTTCGGCCAGTGAGCCTCCTGATTGATTTTACTTCATATAACGTTTTCTGACACGGCCAGTCAAGGGTTAATTCCTGCTTGCCCTGACCTGGGTAATCACTTTCTCAGCTCTAAATGAAGTGATCGTTAAAGAGCAGAGAACTTCGTCCAACTCTTTGGTCCTCCTTTTTGTTTTCTAATCCTTTGGGAAGGGAGACAAATCCGTAAACAAAAGAAGAGGGTTTGAATCAAGTTTGAATCAAGTGAATATGCTTTCCACTGTGCTACAGGGCAACATAGACCAGTCTGTCATTGCTGTAGGGCAGTTTGCATTAAAAATACATGTGGAGTTCTCACCAGTCTGGCTCAAAATTGAGTTCTTTTTGTTGCTGCATGTAGTTTTATTATGGAAAAATGTTCTCTAGAAGTTCCCAAAGCTCACTGTCACAAACAAAACTAAAACCAGATGCTCGGCCCATTGATGACAAATGAACCAATTCCCATGTGTAATCTGAGAAATAAACTGCAAGTGTCAGACTGAAAACTCAACTCAATCACGTGGTTTGTTTTTGTCTTCTGTACAGTCTTTCAAAAGAACCGAAAGGAAAATGTTGCTGCTGACCTGTATGTTACCCCACTGAAAATAGACACATTTCCTGCCTCTCTCCGTCTGTACCTGAACAATGCCTGTTTTCTATTTTGTTATTTTATAAGAGAAGTGGGAAGTCTGCTTTTTCCATACCTAAGATTTGTCAGACAGACAAAAGCCAAGTTTATTGTATTATTTAAGAGCGAGTGTCTGTGCAGGGAGTCAGATAAATGCTAGGACTGAATCAGAAATACCAAAAACACAACTTGATTAGAAAGTAGTTGCTTTGAAGTCTATTTTTGTTTTTGGAGCATGAAAACAAATGGCAATAGACTCTCCCTGTAATTGCTCAAATGGGAATTATTTATTTGACTAAGGCAAGAATATTATTGTTCATTCTTGTGTATTAATTATTACTCAAAGACTAATAATTTGTCCCTCACTGTTTGTGCTACGAACATGAAAGATACCTCAAATTGTGCTGCTTGTTGAGAAGATTTGTGATAAAACTGACCATAAAATAGACTTAAAAGGTCCCCTGAAATGCTTAGACACATGCAGCGTTACTCTGTGTTGATGTCATTTTAACTGAAAAAGGCAGACAGGGCGGGACATATCAAGCAGCCCCGCCCCTTTTTAAAATAGCCAATAGCGTTCGTTTATATCACAGCTTGGGCTAGAGCCGTTCTGAGCCGTTGAGCTCCGTAAAGCCGCATTTGACAGGGTATGCCAGCCACAATCTCATCCATATTGCTATAAAATATAGCATTCTGTGTAGAATTCAAATAGCTCTGATACATTTTGTGGTCTGCGCCGACTCGCGCATGTGATCCACTCCGTGCTATCGTGTCTCTGGACCGGAGCAGAGTGTGTGTGCGGTGCGGTGGTTAGCGTGACACAGCGATACCTCTTTTTTTCCTCAATGGAAAGCATATTTACACTGTTTGACTATACCTGTCCCCTATATAGTGCACGACGTGCCATTCACTGTACAGAAAATTCTAATTCTGTGGACAAGTGACCGATTTCAGCCAAGGCTTCAGCGTCTATAGTGTAGGGGGCGGGCGCTTCGGATTCTAGAGAGCATTTGATTGGACAAAGTTTGATGAGAAGCTGAAGTACGATGCGATTGATACTATCACCCAAAAAACTTTAATTTTGATTTCATGGGGACTTTAAGGTGCAGTTCCATAAGCAAAAGTTTGGGGAAATTTTGTGAGGAAAAAGGTCCAATAGTGTAGCGATTTTAACTTTGAAACCAAGCAGCTTTTTGTTGATTTTGAACCGTTTTGTTTTGCATTGGTAAACGCGACTCTTTAAAAAAAAAAAATAATAATTTAACTGTAACCTGTCACTAAGTGTTAAACTGGAACTGAGACTTGTGTCCAACTCTGACATAATGCCGCCATTATTCGTCCTGTCTCTCCTTCTCTCAACACTGCTGAACAGACAGATCTCATATTCACCAAGTATAAACAGAACCCAGAACCTCTGGTGTTCAATTTATTTCGGATCGGATTCATTGAAGGATATTACGCACAAACGTGTAATTTGTTCTTAAATCACTATTAGACATCCAGACATGCACATCTGCATGCTGAAGATTAATTTTGACTGTTCCCATCTTATTGTCTGTTTAAATTTCATGAACCTATAACATTTAACTGAGAAACCTGATACTTGTCAGGGTTTCCATTAACTAACACAGATGTCAAATATCAACGTCAGACCGAATAACTCACCTGAAAATTGTAAAATTGCTCTCAGCTTCCATGGTTTTGCTCCAAATATTTTCTTTATGAATGTATTGAGGAGGTTTTTCCCAGGAGAGGAATTATTATTCTCTTTCGTCACACTGTGAACATAGCTTATGTCCGATCTCACTTATGGGTAACTTGTGTGTTTTGTCTTAATAAGCAGTTTGGATTATATTCTATTTCTAAATCTTCTCTCAAAAAAGTCTCAGTTGGATATTTATCAGCTGTCGTTATAATGGAGACGTAAACAATCCTGCGGAACCGATGGCTGTACTGTTAACTTCAAGCATAATTATATCAGCCTGCTCAAACCTGTGACCAGTGCAGCATCTGTCCTCAATCACTGCGTCTGAATGGGATCGTCTCAGGGCCCATCTGGAAAACCACTTTGCCAAGTGATGGGACCCCTGCTATGCCTTTAGAGCCATTTATTCATTCAAGTGAACTGGAATAAGCAGACATAATGCTCTCTTGGGAAGAAAAAGACAAATCTCAGCATCTGTGAGAAATCGATGTACAATAAGAATATTGGCCGTTTTGGAAATGCTGGTTTGTGTGATATATTTGGTTAAAAGTTAACATGAAATCAAAAATGAGCTTATTTATTGTTTTAATTAAAAAAAATGTAAAAAAAATTATATTTCAAATAAATTCTTCTCTTTTGAACTTTCTATTCATCAAAGAAAAAAAAATTATGTCACGGTTTCCAAAAAATATAAAGCATCACAACTGTTTTCAACATTGATAATAATTAAAAATATATTTATTGAGCATATATCTTATTATCAGCATGTTAGAAAGATTTCTAAAGGATCATGTGACACTGAAGACTGGAGTAATGATGCTGAAAATCCAGCTTTGCATCACAGGAATAAATTAAGTTTTAATATAGGCTAAAATAGAATACAAATATTTTACATTTTAGAAATATTTCATAATATTACTGTATTTTTGAACAAGTATATCATTGGTGAGGATAAGAAAATTATTTTATAAACAAAAAAATCTATTATTAAATATATTTTTAAATTATGAAAATGTGTCTTAATATCTTATGCATTATTGCTTTTTAAGTCAATTTATCTTGGTTTTTTTTTTTTCAGTTCTTAAAATACAAAATTTTCTTGAATATTTGGGTTCACTATAAAATAAGTCACATTATATAATTCAAATGGGTATTGAATTCTAATTCATGTTGAGTTTACTTAGGATGTTTCTGTTTTACAACAAAGCTTTGTTGAAATGCCAGCCTTTGAGTAGAAAACCAAAAACATGTGGTCTTTGTTAAAAGACAGAACATTTCTTAACAGGCCCCTGATGATGTTGCAAAGAGCTCATTTTCTCTTCTAAATGGCAGCACTCCTGCAGTCTGCAAGCATGTCTCTATTAAAAACATTAAAAAACAGGAAATGCCGCTTACAAACAGTTTTCTACTCTGTCAGCCTTTATTCCTCCTGGGTCTGCTTGCAGCCGCGGGTGCTGGTGTGTAACTTACTGTTAGAGCAGTGTATGTTTAGCCAGAAAACCTAGCATGGGTTGTTAGCTCTCCTCTGGGGCAACAGGGAGTCCATATGGTACAATGTGTAATCAACTAGAGCAAGCGAGTGCAAGAACAGCATTAATGTCTGTGAATAAAAATAGTACCATAACAAAAGTTACAGTCTCTTTAATACAGACTTCCGAATGAGTTAAAAGTGTATCGTGAAGTGCCTTTGTGTAATTTAGTGAGCAAGGTTTTGGACAGTAAACAAATGAATTATTCTGGTCAGTGTCTGCATTTTCTTTCTTTTTTTAAATTGTTTTCTGAGCTAAAATCATACATAATTTAGGTAAATTTTTGACTGTTACTTTGTCTGCCTCCTGTCTTGTCAAACACTGTCCTTGCAGCACTATGATACATGAACAGGCTTTTGCAAGGACACTGAATGAATGACAGCGTCTGTCAGGCAGAGATGGAGGAGAGACAGGGACGTGTGGACAGTTGATGGCCATATTGATCTCCACCCCGTCCTCTTTATTAACAAGGTGCCTGGTCTCAGAGCATCCCAATTAATTCAGACAGTCAACAGACTGTCGAGAATGAAAAAGCATTTCCTCTTTGAGCTTGTGCTTCATGTTTTTATATTGCTTTTACTGTTCCTGTGTAAGATGGATTGTGTATTCTCTTTTGTCTGATTTGTTAGATGTTTTCCCTAATTTTTCTGTCTTTATTTGCAACAATGGTAAAGCTGTGCCTTTCTCCAGAGTTTTTTTTTGTTTGTTTTTTTTTGAATACTCACAATTATTGCTACATTTTCACTAACATTTTTGACAGTTTTGATGTTTGACTAATGACTGTAATGCATTACAGAAAGGAAAGAAATAGAAAAAGTCTTAGAAAAGACTAAACATATTCACAATATGCATTTAATTACATTTAATTTCAAGTAATTTTTAAGAGACAATTTTTTACAAAATTACCGTGGTGTTACCAGGGTTTTTTGGACATAGTAAAATGATAATACCATGATGGATGTGGACATGCTGGTAATAATGCTGGTAGTTAAATGAAATAATTACATATTTAAATATTTAAAAAATTATTTAAATAATGAAATATCATATTTTATTACATATTTACATGTACTATTTAAATATAAAAATATATAAATAATTTCTAAAATATAGAAAGCAAAACATTTTTTTTTTTAAATAACTTTAGGCTGTGCTGAAGGGATTGCAAGCACTGGCATTCCCCTTCAACTGTAACTTGATTTATAATTTAGCAACATTTTAATGAGACTTTTTTGGTTTTACAGAAAAGTACCATGGTGTTATGACCATAGTAAAATGGTAATATTATGATAGCTATCACCATCGTCACTTTTTTTAGTATATTTGCGTAATGTGTAAATACCATTGCACAAAAATATGGTATTCATTCAGTATCACAGTTTATATCCATTTATAAAAAGCACAGTGGTGCTCATAGATGCTGATTGGTAATTTTGCTTAAAATGTATTATTTTTATTTATAATTTTTGTTAAAGCTAATTTTATTCAATCATATATATTAACTAATAGAAATTTGTATTTAAATATTATTTAATAAATATAGTTTTAATTAAATATTGAAATGCGTCATTTGAAATATTAAAACATTTATATAAATAAAATAAATCATTATTGAATTTTTATATTTTTTGTAAAGGGTTGCAAGCCCTGTCGTTCCCCTTTAACTGTGACTTAGCTCATAATTTAGCATGGTGTCTTGTACCTTATTACTCAAGCACCATAGTATTGCCACCAATGTATCACAGTGCTGTTTTGTAAGAGGTGTTGCACTCATTTGGCAGGAGTTGTGATGTTGTTGGTAAGGTCCACATTGCCCGATTGTCCTGAAGATAAGAACAGCCCGTTCTGCCAGAACTGCAGCTACTTTGCATGCATTGAAGCCTGTTGGCTCTCTAATGAGTCCTTACGTATAGGGGGTCATGGTGGCAAAGGCATGTACAGCAGCTAATCAGAGACCCTATAATGTTGATGCATTGAAATGCTCTTATTCACATGTGACATCGGGTTCCGTTCTTCTAACTCACTGAATTAACCATGCTGTGTTTTTTTCTTCTACAGAGGGGGAGCCCATTGAAGCCATCGCAAAATTTGATTATGTGGGCCGCTCTGCGCGGGAGCTGTCCTTTAAGAAGGGTGCATCTCTACTGCTGTATCAGAGAGCGTCGAATGATTGGTGGGAGGGCAGACACAACGGCATAGACGGCCTAGTGCCTCACCAGTACATTGTTGTACAGGATATGTGAGTATCTCTACTGTTCTACCGTGATAAAAGAATATAAATAATAATAATAGCGCTTCAACAGAGTTTGATGTTATTAACCTTTATTTCACCAGGCAAGAAAATACATAGCACACAAATATTGGGCTGAATAGATTTACCTGTTTTTGAGTTTTAGTCTGTTTAGTCCTTTTCAGTATTATATAATTATAATTTATAATAACTCTACTTCAGATTCTAAATTTAACTCTCTGTACATAGAATAAAATTAACATAAAATGTAACAAATTAGAAATAAATCTGTAAGTTTACATAAATCAGAAAAAGATTTTACTGTTGTACAACACAATGTAGAAAATCTAATAACAAAATTAGGATAAGATATTATGTTTGTAAAAGGGAAAATGTAAGAGGCAATTTATTATTTATGTAGTATATATTAGGGCTGTGACTATAATAAAAATGTAACTAATTGCACAGATTTTTATGATTAATCACATATCAATTATTATTGTATATTATGTATATATTACTATATATAAATCATATATATTATTATATATAAATTATTATATAACAATCGTATGTAAAAAAAAAAATCACAATTAAACAATTTACATATGTAATTGTCATATTAATGTAGAATCATCATAAAATATTTTAAATAATATTTATTATTTATATTAATTATATTAAATAATATTTTAAATACAATTTATTATTTAGTATATATTAGGGCTGTGACTATAATAAAAATGTAACTAATTGCACAGATTTTTATGATTAATCACATATCAATTATTATTGTATATTATGTATATATTACTATATATAAATCATATATATTATTATATATATATTATTATATAACAATCGTATGTAAAAAAAAAAATCACAATTAAACAATTTACATATGTAATTGTCATATTAATGTAGAATCATCATAAAATATTTTAAATAATATTTATTATTTATATTAATTATATTAAATAATATTTTAAATAAAATTTTTATTGGCACCTGGGTAGTGAATTTATTGTTTGTTTGCTTTTCGTTATTATTATTATTTATTTTAATATTATGTTATTTTCCCCAGCCCTAGTATGTATAGTGTAATATTATTTCTTTTGATTTGTCCACTATTTTATTTTTTCCCTGAGCTTGTCACATTCTGGGATTGCCTTCTCCTCAAGAGATAAACAAGCTGTGTCCAAAATTAAGAATTTGCGACCATTAATAACATATGTTCTATATTACAATCTAGACATACTACATCTGCCTTTTGAATACTGTATATTTGCAAATACAGCTTTGATGTACTGCTTTTTGCATACTATGTAATATGGAAGTAGGCGTAGGGCATAAAATGCCTAATTTCAAGGAAATGTACCTATGAAGCCTTAAAATGCTGTCAAGGTAGGCATCTAGATAGATTTGGAACATAACTTGAGGCACATCTGAGTTTAGTTTCACCACTCTGCTGTGGACCATCTCCTCTGGTAAATCCCTTTATCGTCATGACAACTTGTTCCGCCTGGGCAACCATTGGCGCCTAGTTGAACAGATTATGACTCATAAGGGGGGCAAATCTAATGGATTGGGCACAGTACTGAGTGACGCCAACAACAGAACCCATACCAGCCCACTGTGTGTGTGTGTATCAACAATTCACATCATGACCCTCTGTTGATGAGTGTTCTTGGCTCGTGGCACTGAGAGAATTTACAGCCTGGTGTAGAGAGGGAGTTTAAGAGGCCCTAGACCAGCAGCGTCAGCCCCTCAGTCCTAATAACAATAATGTTTATTATTATTATTATATGGTCATATTGATATATAATCGCAAAAGTTTTGGACAAATTGTGCAGCCCTTTAAAAAAAATCTAAGCAAAACTGTAGCTTTTTTAAAATAATAATAATAATAATTATTTTATTATTATTAATATTATTTATTATTATTGTTATTGTTAATTTTTATTATTTCATATTGATATGTAATTGCAACATTTTTGTGTCAAATTGTGCTGCCCTACAAACAAGTACAGCAAACCGGTTGCTTTTTCATTTTAATCGCATTTTATCAGAAAAATCACAATTAGATTTTTTCCCCCAAGTCATGCAACCCTACGTTTAGTGTATTGGGGAGTATTGAGTGAAAAGGAAAAGCTCAGCGATACAAACCAACGAGTGCCCACCTGGGACTTTTTGACTTTTTTGAAATGTGTTTTGGTAGCAATCTGAGCTCTTCTTGTTGTCTGTCTTGAAACAGTTTGTGTTTAAACATTAAACTAAGCCTAATGCGTGTAAATGGGTTTTTATAACTGCTTGTTTGCTGTTTTTTTTACAGGGATGACACATTCTCTGACACTCTGAGCCAAAAGGCGGACAGTGAGGCCAGCAGTGGGCATGGAGGAGAGGAGAAAAGCTCCAGTAGAGACATTGGGTCTCCAACAGGCAGCAGGCTACCTGATGCCTACATCAGCAGGTGAGTGAACGAACCAGTGTTAATTTCGTTGCCGAATAATTTTCGTCAACGACATTGTTTTCACTGACGACAAACGAGACGATATGAACTAAAACTCTTTTTGAATGACAAAAACTATGACGTAAATCTATTGACATTTTCGTCAACGAATAAAAATGAGAGGAAAATTTTAGGGAGGGACGATTTGAGAAGAGATTCATTCAGAACGAATCTGCTGCGTGGTTCGGAGGTTAGATGCGTACATATCAACCGGCTGGACATAAGCTAACATACACTTGCTGCACGTCGCATAAAACGTTCAAAAATGTCAATATGTGGGAGTAAGAAAAGAGCAGACGTATGGATAAATCTGACGACGCAAGAGAGAACTCGATTCAGTCCGGTTTTCTGAGCGCAGACACTGAAGCATACACACACAGAAAGCGCGTCTCACAGCGCGCGAGTAGAATTGTCCGTTTTGACGAGTATTCACATAAACACAGCTGATTACGTCTTAAGTGAACGTAAACAGTAGGGAGCATTTTAGTCAAAAGACTATGATTAAAACTAAATCAAAATTTGCTGTCAAAATTAACACTGGAACGAACACATCCCAGAATTTCCTTGCTTCAAGCACTCCAAGACACTTAGGCTATTCAGTTACAGGAACAGTCAATTAAATGACAATCAAATCAAACAAATACCCTGTGTCAGCGCCAATGGCCTTGTGGTTAGTGCGACAACTCGAGTTTGATTCCCGTCTCAAGGGCCAATCCCGCTCCCCTCTGCCCAATGCTTTCCTGTCAGCTCTCTACTGTCCAATCACAATAAAGGCATAAAAGCCCATAAATATAACTTTAAAAAAATACCCTATAAGTAACAAGAACGAAGAAAGAAGTCCCCGTGTGGATTTTCTTGAAGCTGATTACATCAAGTCTTTATTTTTATTGTGTTGAACGGGGGAGCATTGTGACTCCCACGTTCATTCGCTCTATCCCTCTGTGTCGTGCAGCTATGATTCCTGCCTCTTAAATCTTTCAGTGCATTTGTCTTTATTTAGATGTTCTCTTCCTTCCATAAGTGCGTTTATCAAACATACTTCCTCGCGGATGAGGATAGCCTCCTCTGCAACTGTAAACCCAATGACATTATGGCAATCAAATCATAAAGTGGTGATCTCCAAAGACAAATATTCTCTTTGATATGTCAGCGCTAGTCCTAAGATGCGGTGGGCGCTCAAACACATGAACTCAGTATTTGTTTACATTGAGTTGGCCAGAATATCAGGATAAGCAGTGAGTGTTAGTGTACTGCAGTGTGATAACTGTGCACTGTGCCATAGAAATAAAATGACTCTGAGAGTTCAGTGTCAAATGCCGTTCAATATGAATTTGAATAATTAGTAGTTGTTCTAAAGCAGATTTATATGGTTTCCCATAAAAGTTCACCAGTTTTTCATGACCTGACTCTCTTTTGACACATTCCGTGTCTTGTATTATGCAGCAGTGCACCATTGAGTCGCTCCATGTTTTAATGTAGTGCAGGTCGCCCCCTGCTGGACAAATACCTCTACTGGTATTTAGATAAAATAACACTCAAATTCATTTCATTTCTATTTACTTTGATCATTATCAGCAGCACAGCTATGTAATTTATGAACTCACAATTTAGCATGTCATTACTGATTGCTATCTATCACGGACTGTCAAAATGATTATACAAGCATTACAAGAGCTCATTAAGTACAAGTTATTAGGCGGCTATGTTATGATAGAAATACTTCATCTTACTAATTAATAATTTATGTCTCTTCAACTATGTGCACTTTTGGCTTTAGAACATACAGTACTTACCGTTGGATACTTGCGTTACAGAACAGTTGTCTTTTTTTCCCCCTCCTAAACTGTGATTAGCAACTGTCATTTCCACCAGTATTATTTATATACTATTAGAGCATTTACTAATATTTTGAATTAGCTTTTGTATTTTCATTTTCATTTTCATTTTAGTAACTAAAAGTTTAGTTTTATTTTATTTTTAATAGCTTTTTAAATATTTATATTCAGCGTCTCTTTTTTGTTTTAGTAATTTTAGTTCTTCCACTTATTTCTTTCAAGGCAGTTTTTCTCATTTTCGTTTTTTTATTATATATATTTTTTTAGTTTAGGCTTTAATCTAATGTTTACATTTTCTTGTAGCTTTTTTGTTGTTGTTGTTTTTGTTTGTTTGTTTGGCAAATTTTTTTTTAAATAGTTTTAACTATAACAGCACTGCTTTCCACCACATCTTCGGCTTATTTTGTTTTTTAAATGTTTTGGAAGATTCTTTAGTCTTGCTAGGGCTGCCACAGATACTCTGGAGATGACGCTGATGCTAATTAAGCATGAACGCTGAAGCACACTTGATATTCCCAAATGCAGCATGTGATGACCAGTAATGTTTTTGAACCATGTCCACCACTTAACGTAAAGCTAACAGCATTTGCAGTGGTCTCCAAACCTCTCACAAAAGCTTTTAGTTTAGCCAGGTATGGAAATAGATTAATTACACACTTTAACGTGTCTTATTTCCTTTTGCTTTATTTAGCAGGTACAGGAAGAGAAGTGACCCCCCGACCCGCAGGCCTCCAGCTCGCCTCACTGACACCCACTGCTTGGTCCACCCCTCACAGGGCCACCACGGCAACCATAGCAGCCACGGTAGTCACGGCAACCCAGATTTGGGATCTCCAGTGATGGGCCACTACAGTCCGCGGGACCTGCTGAGAGGAAGAGGACACATGCCCATGGATAGTCCCGAGAGACGTCGACGGACCGGCCACGGCAGCCTGATCAACGTCAGCCGGCACGAGTCCATAAAAAAGATGGAGAGCCCTCCCATCCGCAGGTCCACGTCTTCAGGCCAGTACACAAGCTTCTCCGAGCCTCACGGCAAGAGCCTGGATCCAGAGAGCATCGCACAGGTCAGCGGGAAGCGAGCGACGACGCCCCTCACACCATGCGCTGCAGGCCCAGCCCTGTAACATAGTCAGTTACTGCCTCCTGTTACTAATGACTAATGCGTATCTGCAAAACACACTCACACACTCGGTCTCATTTATGAAGCACGAGCAAAGAAAATGTGTAAACCACTCAAAATTCTGTTTAAATGTGCTGTAAGCCAGTGCTTGTCATCCTTTTTGACTTCAAGGCCCCATATTGTCAAAGACAATGTCTGAAAGCTGACCAGCTAGGCTAATATATTTCCTTGCTTTATTTACAGAAACTCGGGAGTGTGAGTAGATTAAATATAATTAACCACAATTTATTTTGTGATGTTTCTTAAATTGAATGTTCTTAAGAGTTCTCACTCTTTTTGACAAATAAATGTACATGATTTTCCAGTCATTTGCGATGATTGGATAAGGATTTAAATAAAAAAATTTCTACCCAATAAAATAATTTAAATATTCATGTTGATTTATAGAAATGTCTATGACTTTTAAAATTATTATTATTATTATTTATATTGTTAAAACTCCTGGTTTTCCAAGACCTTGAGAACCCCCCCTCCACACACACACAGTTTTTTATAATTTTCAGCTGCTTTTGCTTATTTGAAAAGATTAAGTTTGCAGAGGCCTCCTTAGTGAATTAACATGACCTTTCAGTCATTCATGTTTACTGAATAAGGATTTTTAAAAGTATTTTAGCTCAAAAAGAGCAATTTCTACCCAATTAAATATTTTATTGATTAAATCAACTCGAGAAATGTATTTTCATTATAAAAATGTCCATGAGTTTATAATTTGTCTTATTATTTTTCTATGATTTTTTTTTTTGATATTTAATTTAATTGATTTATTTTAAATATAGAAATCACGTTTTTACAATTCTATGTTTTCCAAGACTTTGGAAAATCTGGTTGTTAAATAAAAATAAATTTTTGAAGCGGTCAAATTAAAAATAAGAATTTGTACCTGTTAATTATTTTAAAAGTTTTTTCTTTCCTTAAATAATTTTAAATGGCAAAGTTTCCTGAGCCCCTCTATTTTTCAAAATGTCTGACTAGCAAATAATTCACATAAATTCATTCTGCTTGTGTTTCATGAATAAGGCCTATTTTCATGTTTAAAATAGTTCTGAGAAAAATATGGTTTTATTGAGTCCATATTCTAGCCCCAAAAAAACTTCATGTCACACACTAAGTAGTATCCACTACTTTAAAAACTCCCCACTGGTTTCACAACAACATTTCCAGTGTCTCTTTAATACTTGTCTCATGTATTGTTTCATGTATACATCAGCTTTATTTAATACTAACAATCTGACCATTTCATGTTCACATATTTTATCTCACTAGTCATGATTCATCATGTTGTCCGCTTGTATTGCATTTGTTTGATGTTTATTATTATAAGCGCTCTAATGCTCTGTCTCTTTCTTGTAGGACATAGAGGAGACGATGAACACTGCTCTAAATGAGCTGAAGGAGCTTGAACGGCAGAGTTCTGCTAAACACGCCCCTGACGTGGTGCTGGACACCCTGGAGCCGATGAAGAATGGTCCCACCCCGGCCAGCTCCACCGAGTCCCTGAGCCAACTCCACGGGCTCCTGCTGCGGCCCGCCGTCAAAGAGCCGCCCATGCGCCGCAGCACCAGCTCCTCCAGCGATACCATGAGCACCTTCAAGCCCGCCGTGGCCCCGCGCATGGGGGTGCAGCTCAAGCCCCCCGCCCTGCGGCCCAAACCCATGGTGGCGATACCCAAAACAGGAGCAGCGCAGCATCCGGCGGCCCCTCCACAGGATCCACTGGACAAATCCTGCACCATGTGATTCATTGTGGGCGAAACGTTCAGGGACATGAGGACACAATGTAAGATTAGGACCACTGCTGTCAGAGCCAGATTTATAGTGGATTTTAATGCCAATGAACATAGTGACGTGTGGTTCTTTATTTTGTAACATTTCATTCACTTTAGCGAGTGGACTGAAGCAAATATAGATAACTAAAGATAATAGAAATACATTACTGTGGTTAATGAGGTGACTGTAGTTTTGAACTAGTGTGTATAAAATTCCAACACTAATATAGGGATTATTAATAAACTAGAATAACGTCGGTCACTAAGCATGGTTCTGAGGGAGGATAGAGTTAGTTACACAGATGTTTACTATTTCAGAGTTAGTCAATTCAAATGAACATTTTTAGATATTCTAGACACCTGCAACTAACGGAAAGCAGTTTATTTGCATCACAAAACTGTTTGCATGCTTGTCTGACACCTTATTTTTTCCCGCAATACTCTGTGTGAATAGATTAAGGAGTTGTGACAATGATATTAAAGAAAGCAACAAATCACTACAGCTTCCTACGGTATGTTGTTAAGGGTGACTTTCTATATATCAGTAGTTTACATCCACTAGAAAAACTGCTAAATGTGAATAATACAGAAACTAAGCGGGGTCTTTGGTTTCTCTGTTTACAGCATAAGGATTGTGGGAAATGTGTCTTTACATCTCAGAGTGTTTTCTAGTCAGGACTCTTTGAAATGATGTGTGGAATGTTGACGTTGGAGAAACACTGCCATATAAGGGCATGTGATGTCACATCTTCTGCTCGTCCTGATTGGCTGTCGATGTTATGAGCGATTCTAAGTTGTGTCAGCAAGGCTTTACTTTGAATATTATATTTTTGATAGTAATATTTGAATATATGCCCAGGGAGATTGTGTAAACCACATCCGCTTACATTGAAGAAACATTTTCCTAGTTTTTTTTTTCTTCACTTGATTTCTTATTTAGAAAGATAGAAATATATATTGTGTATATAAATGTACATCCACTAAACCTTTTTTTTTTTTTGTCTTTATGTTCATTACTTTCTCCCAGGAACCAACTGCTCACTATAAACAATATTTTTGTAGTCTCTTTCTGCTTAATTAGATGTAATCTGTGAATAGTCAAGTCTAGCTGCCAAAAAAAAGTATAAGTTCTTTAAGTGCTGCTTAGAGATTGATGCATATAGGCAACGAGAATCTTTTCCCTGTCAGCTTAGCTGTCTAAAACGCTCGGCTTGGTTCTATCCTATAAGCATGAACGATAATCCATTTAGTTGTCATATGCAAGTACTTTTCTAGAAACTTTTGAGGCAATATTTCTTGTTGGTTCACCAAACAAGGGAATGATCCCAATAGCCATGGACTCAGAGACTGTTACTGCAGTGCTTTCGTGGGATAGTGCTGTTTCTTATGTGTGCTTGAGGCCCATTAACCCTTCGTAATAATAACACACACAGCACCGCACTCAAATTAAGTCAGTCACGCGAGCTACCCAAAGATAAAGAGTTATGTACAGCATCAGTCACTCCCATGTATTTGCACTCCAAAATTAAAGATTTGGGATTTCATATACAGTATATGAATCTGTGCATCGACATTCACATTATTATGACAGTTTGACAATAACTTAGTGTGTGTGTAATTGTACTGTATTCACTGATGATTATACAACAGTTTACTCATATTTAGGTAGAATATGCTATGAAATGTGTTTGGCTGATGTTACACAATTGTCCATCGCTGAACCAAGGGGATAAACTGTACCAACTTTAAGAAAAATATAAGCAATGCCTGTTTTTAACATACTAAAGCCTTTTGATTACCGATTTATACTGAACAATATTACAAAGGATTTGTTAAAGTGTTTTTATTTTATTTTCATTTTTAAGAGTGTGCATTAGGTAAGTCTTGAAATGTTCTCCCTGCAAAACTGCACACAGTAGCAGAATCTCTGTACTTAATTGCTGTTATATCAGTGTCCATGTACATCTCTGTACTATGTACTTGTGAAAGTGCCTTTAAAAACTGTTTTAGAGGAACTTCATCCAATCGTCCTCTGTGCTGTGGCATTCTTATTTCAGATCCACTATACCGAATTGCTATAGGGATTACGGTAAATAAATTATTACTAACGTTGTTCTGTTTATTAAGTTGTAAGAATGATCAAATAATAAAGATACTGCTCATCCGTTGTGACATTGCATTTTTATGTGAGACTGTATATTTGGCATGCGGCATCCTAACAAGTTGTAGAGCTCTTGGAGGACTGCTCCATCTTTCTAATAAAGAACATAGGTTGGTCAGTTCACTGAGGTGTTGGCTTGTGTCTCCTCCTCAGACAGTGTTGTTTTCATAATGGTAAGATTGTATGTGATGACATGAAATCTTCACAGCGTTATGCTTTCTCTTTAGCTTGAGCTGTAAAAACAAAGACAGCAGCTTAATGATTTCGCATTCTAGGCATGATCATTTCCCAATTGTCATAGCTAATGAGGAAGGAGCATAAGAGCATTTTGAAAAACAAGATCTGTTGAAACTTGGTTGTTCTAAACCAGTGGTTCCCAACCCTGGTCCTGGAGGCACCCCAACACTGCACGTTTTGCATGTCTCCTTATTCAAAAACACCTGATTCAGATCATCAGCTCATTAGTAGAGACTCCCAAGACCTGAAATTGGTGTGTCAGAGAAAGGAGACATGCAAAATGTTGGGAACCACTGTTCTAAACAACTGTTGTTATGGCTTCTTTAACCATTCCATTGAAGATACAACATAACATTTACCAGTTCAAACTGACCTGACGTTATAAATCACAGCTCAACTGTCAGCAAAATGTTCCACTTAACAATTGTTCTTAAATCAATTTATAATGAGATTCCACATGCGATCACACTTCTTATGTTGTCATCTCACGCTAATAACATACATGAAATTACATTTTGTTTTCTTATTATTGTTATTGTTGTTAATTACCAAATTCTAACAAAACAATCAAGTGACAGTGACATGGGATGATGTAATCAGATAGAGAGAGGAAATTAAAAACAGACATTTCACCCCTTAACTACCCTGGAATAGACTTGGTATCATAATATACTTGGTAATTTTAGTTAAAACCTGGGATTTTTTTAATGCCTTTTTTGTTTTGTTTCTTTGTGATGTAAAAAGGGAAAATACTTTACCTCAATACCAAACTAAATGAAAACTAAAATTAGGCTGTCACTCTTAATTTGTGGATATGAAATTTGCCAAACAAGCTCAAGATTTTAACAGCATTGTCCAAGAGGATACAATCAATTCAAATTCAATTCAAATTTATTTGTATAGCGCTTTTCACAATACACATCGTTTCAAAGCAGCTTTACAGAAAATTATTACAAGTGTGATCACATAATGATTACAATATAGAGAAAATTTGGCAGTTGTGCATATCGATTCAAGTTGGCATCATCTGGGGTCCTCGCAGAGGTCATCTCTTCATAGGTTGGGTCATCTGAAGTCTTTCTTTGAGGCTGGATCCACACTGGAGCTGGCGTAATCTCTAGTTACCTCGAGCTGGGTATCCCAAAAAGGCAAATGGAAAATTATTAGCTTAGCTGCTGTTCATGACGTTTCAAGCTAAAAAAAAAATGTTTATGTGAATTTTATCTGATATAATTAGGAACAAGGGTATGAGATTCATAAACTGCAAAGATAAACTGCAGTGCTTTACAACTATAGGACAGGAAGAGCTAAATAAACTTATCACTGCATCTAAACCAACAACATGCCTGCTAGATCCTGTACCCACTAAATTACTGAAAGAGTTGTTACCTGTAGCAGAAGAACCGCTTCTCAATATT